GCTCTGCCTAATTACTTCGATCTCATTGTTTCGTCGACTCGTCGTTTACTTGCACATTTCAATAAATATTAAATAATAATAATAATAATAATAATTTGCTTATCAAGATCACAAAGAAATCACTTCGATCAATTTATTGTTGAAACATGGTAAACATAAATACGATTTATCGGAACAACTGTCACAGAATGTGACGACTTTTATGGTACAATTTTTTGCCAAGATTGCGAAGCAAACTTTTTATTTCGATAACAAATTTACAATACAGCGTCTTTTGGTCGAATTAAGGTTTTCGTTGGTCTTAACGTCCCACGATACGATAAACGAGGTATACACATTATTAAAATGCAAATGCATGACTTTACAATAAATTTTTAAAAACTTCTTCAATGAAAGTTTTATGTTGAAAATTCCAAATGACTTGGATGGAAATCTTCACTATGGGATATATGTATCATACATGACTCACGCGGCACGGAACTGTGTTAACGATGAACTGCGACAAGATAATTTCGAGAGAGATGGAAAGTGAACGTATAATTATCGCAGCGCGAAACGAGTAAATAACATTTTTGAGCGGGATTGATACTTTGACGACAAATAAAGGAGACGCTCGTCTGCGGAACAAACACGTTAAAACTCTCTTTCGGTGGCTTCAAATATTTGTCACCACTGCGCTCAAAATACAAAGGACCGGTTACATGTCAGCCGTAATGTCCCTCGTGAAAGAGGTGTATTACTCCTTTGCGACTCCAAATTTGAAATTGAATCAGCCTCGCTCTCACACACGTTTTTCACGCCGCGTTACACTTGCACGTTGCTCGAAAGAATAATTCGCGCGTAGCTTCGGCTACGAAATTCCCAATTCCCTGCTAACGTAGCTAATTCATTAGAGAAGTTTCATTACAATCGACCATTGAACTACACTTCTTGTTCTTAATTGAATCGATTAACTGATTAATAGAAGGATTTTTTTTCTCTCATGAACGTAGATCTTTGACAAATCTCTTTGACAAACGCGTGAACTTAAATTGATACGAGAGTAGAGGGAGTAGAATAAATATCTTTATCTCTCAACGAGAAACACAAAGTATATTTCCATAAAAGAATAATAACGCAATAAACACAAAATATTATTTTGAAATGATAAATCAGTTCTCTCTCTTCTCACTCTCTTATTACTCTCTCACTCTCAGTCTCGCTTCACCTCTCATTGTCAGTTCTAACTCTCTGACTTTTCTGTGACAACCGACTCTCTGGGACATTCCTCGAAACATCATTTACACTAGACGGGACTCTGGCGTATCACGTTTGTACCATAGACTTTCATAACTATAGACAAAAGACTCTCACTCGTCCAACGACACTCACACTCACACGATGTATACTTTTCCAAGGAGAAGGTCCACCTGCAAAGGTCCACGCGGAGCGTGGTAGAGTTGGGCTAGGGTGGTTCGGATCCAGCGGATCACCGGTGAAATTCACAGTTGCCGAAGTTGCCTTACCACCCTCTCGCAATAACAGATCGCTAACAGAGGATCGACGCCGGGCGTCGTTTACGATTGTAATTCTAATCAAGGTTTACGCTTCGCCCTTAATTACCATTCTCGATGGGCGGATGCAAATCGGGGCGACGCGCTGTCCCGAAGTTTTCATGGGGTTCTCTTCTCTCTCTCTCTCTCTCTCTCTCTCTCTCTCTCTTTCTCTCTCTGGGTGAGAGCGAGGGAAGACTGGCGGAAGCTTGTGTTGGCCGAAACACGGGGCGCCATAGGAATGCACGCCAGGGCGTATATAACCCCCCTCCGTCCGAGGTATTTTGAATCTTGGCCCGAGGCACTTTCGGATCGTTAATCGGGCAGTTTTCGAATATCTCGCTCAGACTAGGTATTCACTTTGGCCGGCTGTCTACGATTCGCGTACTTGACCAAGTCCCTGCGAACCCAGCGTGATATTAATGTACGTGAATTCCAATAGCCAGCCGAGAGAGGGACCGTCGTGTCGAACCTCGCTCGTTCCTTCCTACCGCCATCCTTCCTTCTTTCGTCCCTTCCGTTTCTGATTCTCTGGATCCAGAAGAACGAAAAGGGAATTAAGTAGCGGAGAGATTCCGCGGTTGAAACTGGACTTCGCTTCGAAGTTTAGAAAAAGGTGAGATTTCATGAAACGAGCGATTGAGGAGGAGGATTTATAATCGATGTATAACTTGCAGATTCGCACTTATAACCTATTTTTTACGTTTTCGTTAACTTTTTGCGCTGGAATGCGAGAATTTTTTTGTCCCAAATTGCAACGTTTTCTTAGTTTTGAAACAAATGACAAGTTGATTGCGACAAGTTCAAAAAAAAAAAAAAAAAAAAGAAAGCGACGAATTATTGTATACGGTTCGGTCACTCGTTATGGTCCACGACGACGACGACGACGACGACGACGTCTTGTTTGTCGAAAGATTGATAAAGGTCTCGAGCTCTCGCAGGCGGTGTTCTAGATTAACGAGGTCAGATTCTTTCGCCCACTTTCCATAGCACGGCACCGTACGTACGTACATACGTATCTATATACAGACGAATTGTTCTCAGAGATCGAACGAGCAACCTCGCCCACCCGGACCACCTCGGCAAGCTGGAACAAGCTGAGCAAGGGGAGGTCGAAGTTTGCCCAAGTGACGACGATCAATCGGATTTTGCATCAGATGAGCACGCCGGCCATGCAGAAGAGCACCGCGAGGATCGTTTACAGCAAACACGTGACCACCTCGACAACGGTGGACCCGCGGGCGCCGTTCATCAAAGACAAAAACCTGTTCAAGAGCCGCGAAACGCCGAACGTGAGGAGCTGTGCCAACGCGAGGGGACTCACGGCCGGGTTTACGCGGGTTTACGCGCTCCCTTTGCTCTTCTTTCTCGCCCTACGGTAAAGAAAAAAGAAAAAACAAAAAAAAAAAAATCCGTTTGCAACGAACGTATATACGCGCAAACGTGTATGCACGCATGTAGGTATACACGTACGCGGCTAGAGCCCTGGTAACACGCGTTTATAGAGCGAGCAAAATAGCTAGAGCTGTTGGTTCGTGGTTCACGCGTAGCTGAACACGGGTTGAAACGACATCTAGCGAATGTGAACGTGAACCAGCGAGTCGCTGGCCAGCCAAACGATACCGCGCGCTCGCTCGACTACGACATTCCCCGAACGAACGACAAAGAGGAGGGAAATCGCGATTCCCCGGGAGAGCGAGTTCTTATTGCGTTTCATCAGGACGAACCGCCGATAAGTACTTGCTACTTATTAATTAGCGACGATACAGCGAACAAAAAACCGATCTCTCTCTCGCCGCGGTCGACACACTTTGCCCGCGGCGAGTTACTGTTGCGAATTTTAAAAAAAGATAAATGCTTACGAATGTATTTTTTACGACCCTTTTATCCGTTTTGGAACGCCGAAGGAGGGAGGGGGGGAGAGAGAGAGAGAGAGAGAGAGAGAAAAAGAGAAGAGCAAAGTCGCGAGCGAGGTGTGTTCTTTGGTTGAACTCTACTAAATGTAACAATTGTCGAGTATTTTTTTAACAACGAACGAAACGAAAGGCACACACACACACGAGAGGTGTCCCCTCCCCCGAGGTTGGGATTATTATTTCCAATTTGTGGAGTTATTAGGGAGTTTGCGGATGTAATTTTTATAACGTTAGCGTCGAAAGCCTTACACATGCAGGGTGTCTATCTCAAGTGGGCCACCAGTGTCATTCACGAGATCATCGAGTTCGACAGAAAAAAAAAAAAAAAAATTAAACCACTGAAAATTGATACTTTCGATCGATTACCCAACACTTCGTAATTATTTCAACAATGGCAGTGGCGATCCAATTCAAATGAACATCCCTTATAAATAACTTTATGATGATAATAACTAAATTACCATCAACCCAAATTAATTGATTACGTCTCCACGTTTCGCATGATTCGCGGTCTTTCGCGAATCACCACGATCCCGTAACCAACTATTCGATTGTACTCGAACACACAGACAAATAATTAGCATACTAATTTTTACGTGATAAGGGGTAATAAGATAATATCTTTATTTATATCGGTACGAGTAACAGAGTGAACTGAGATCGTAAGTGGCATCTTAACGAACGTCATATCTAAGATTCATATCCGTAGGGCGTATAGTACCTATAGTACTATATATTTTAGAAAGAATACTAGACCTGACTTTTCTTCATTTACGTATTTTTTTAATTACCCGTACCGTAGGCAAGTAACGTACCTCATATGCCAACGAGACCACAATTATAAATGTAATCCGTGCGGTTAACTGCGAGGAATCAATCAATTCCGATTTCCTACGTTTCATGTACGTGCTCTCTTCTCCCTTCTTTTCCTTAATGGTCAAACAGTTTCTTCAATAGTTAACGAACGACGAACGACGAACGACGAACGACGACTCGACTCTGACGATGACGCATCAACGAGAAGATATTTCTTTCCCAAGGAATCGACAATAATCGTTTATCTGACAAATGGTAACTTTACATCATTTTCCAACAGCTCCTCGCAAAACCGCCAACCATATGTTACTCTGTAATCACAATCTGTGTGCGAAATGGTGCGACTAGAAAGGTTTGATGTTCTTCGACAGATGGAATTTTCAAACCAGGAGTGTCGAAGCTTTCTTCTGGTACTATTACTCTATCATGAATGTCTTCTATTACAGAGTACAAATTTTAGTCACAACGCGTGGTTTATTGTCATTGAAATAGTAGCATATCCGCGAAATAAACAGGACAACACACATGTTAAATATATCTATTTAACAAATATTGTATATCATAAAACACTGCTCAATATAACGACTCTACAATAACTATGATAAAAGAACGTTGTTGTTTATAGAAGAAGAAAAAAAAAAAAGTATATTATGAAAATATGGTGAGAAAATGTGCTCAAATTGGATAATTATATAGGCTTTGGAGAAACCAACATGTTGACAAATAAAACATACTATAACGCAGATAGCAGAGATGTTAATTATTTCCCTTCATTTCGTATTAAGCTTAGGCTTGTTTACATTAAAATTCATTACATTTATAATCGATAGAAAAAAATTACATGCAATTGATTAAAATAGCTTTTCCTTTTCTAGTAATTTGTATACCCTATGTGAATTTCAGGACCAAAATAAGATATTGAAAGCCATAATAAGGCAACCCACTGCCACGTATGGACTTTTTCTCTCGCCAATCCTAGCACACTTCCAAAGAGTACCTTGAAAACTAATCGTTTCGTATTAGTATTGATGCGGATAAAACATGTCTGTTAAAATCATCAAAGTATACATACCCAACTTTTCCTAACCGGCTGTCCAATAAACTGGGCACAATGGATCTAACATAAGTACAGGTACATATCAATAACAAAATAACCGTCAGCAAGCTCTGAAAATTAAATAGGGCAGACTACGCGTCCAACCCCGTAAATGGATTTTAAAAAATTGTCCTCTATTTAATGCACTCTAACATAATTTTAAGGTTATGATAACAGTTAGCAGCTGTTCACAGTTACGTGTTCAATTATCCAGAATATAAATGACAAATTTGAGAAATCCATCGTCTTACCATTACGATTTGCGAGTGATGATGTACTGTTTCGTAAAATTGTTGTACGAAATTTGAACGAGCTCACACACGCTTTGACGTATGAACATCAACACTTTCTGCCATGACACAAGGTGAATACGCAACGCGCGAAAAGAGAAACTATCGTTCGACGAACGAATACTTCAATATTCGCTAAAATTGATTCCACTTTGAATTCAGTCGACATTGTGTCACAATTTACGGAAGAAAAACTAATGACAATGTACCTCGTAATAGATATTAACAATTTGCCATTACCGGACATCAGACATCTACATGAATACATTGTCAATGGCGTGTTATTTGTAAAAGACTACTTTTGAGAGGATCAACGTAGAAGGTTCAACGTGCAAAGTTATCATCGAGTTAGACGATAAATGGACAACCGTGGAGACGTATCGTCGGCATTTCGAGACGTTTGAAAATCTTCGCACGGCAAATGAGATTCGCTGCCTCTCTACACTTGCTGCGATCAACGCGTGTGCATGGTAGTAAAATGGCTGCCGAGAAACGTCAATACATTTTGTATCAATAGCAGCTTACCTTTTGTAAATAACCGAGGGGGATCGCAATAAAACGGATGCCGTTCAATTAACAGTTCTCGACTTTTTTTTTTCGTAATCGTGTGCGTGTACGGGTGTATGTGAATCGGAAATGGCAGAATTCGTGCGTGGAGGACCGAGCGTGTCTAACAGTGCTAAGGTACGTACGTGTATTATCCATCGTGGATTATTCATCCGTTATCGCATTGTCGTCGAGAATCCACTGAACAACTCGATGAGAACAAGTCGATTGTGATCGTACGATTTGAAAATTTTTAGCGATTTGCTCTCCACGTTACTAGTTTCCGTAGATTCTCGATTATTTTTTCAGATATTTTCGATGGAAAGATGCTTGCGATATTATTCGTAGACCATGTTTTTGATAAGTTTTTACGTTTGTTCAAAGAGAAAAGAGCCATGGATGCAAGAATATATGAGTGTATATTGGTGCATGATACTTGTTGACAGAAATATATATTGTGTTTAGAGTAACATGATGCATAACGTGATACTATAAAAACAAAAACATTATCCTGTTTGATTATATTTAAGTAATCCTGCAACGAAGAATCCTGTCATTTACATACTTAATTGCAATTGCTATTGAAAATTATTATTAACAATTTAAAATTATTAAGCGAAATTTATGCGCGAAGTGATAGCAAGTGTATGTTTACTTGTGTACAATTATGTTTATATAGATGGATCACAATAGCAAAGGAGGTTCCCCTAGCACTGGTAGTGAAGATGGTGGACAGAATGAATCAATGAATGCGGAAAATGAATTTGATCCTTTTCTGGAAAATATACCAGATGATATTCAAGACACAGAGGAACATGATAGTGCTAATGCGACACTATTAACAGCTCCTCCAGAAAATCAGTAAGGCTTAACACTAAGAAGATTTTAATTATTTACAAAATCATTGTTACATCTACTAATGTGAAAGAAATATGCAATGATTAATATGTGAATAATTTGCAGGTGGTATCACGGTAGATTAGATAGATTTACTGCAGAGGAAAGACTGTGGGACGCAAGTAAAATGGGTAGTTATTTAGTACGTGAGAGTGACAGGAAGCCTGGAAGTTATGTGTTGTCCTATTTGGGCAGAACTGGCATTAATCATTTTAGAATTACAGCTGTGTGTGGAGATTATTATATTGGTACGGTGGATCTATAAATAAAACGGATAATTACAATTGCGATTGATCTTTGAGGTAATATGTGGGCATTTGATTATAGGAGGCAGACAGTTTAACAGCTTGTCAGATCTTGTCGCATATTATACTCACTGCTCTGATCTTCTAAAGAGAGAGAGACTTATACATCCTACTCCACCTCCTGAACCAGTGAATGATAAGAAACGAATAGTTGCGATACTGCCATACACAAAAATGCCTGACACGGATGAGTTGAGTTTCCAGAAGGGTGACATATTTTTTGTGCATAATGATATGGGAGATGGTTGGTTATGGGTTACTGCTCACAGAACTGGTGAACAAGGTTTAATATTCCGTGAATTAGTAGAGGATTTGGATGATTCCATTGATCCTAATACTGTATTTTCCTGGTTTCATCCTAATGTTACTAAAAGTGAGGCTGTTGACATGTTGGTGAAGGCAGGACCTGGCAGTTTCTTGGTAAGTTGCAAGTTATTTCTTGTAACGTTCGAACGATAGAAAATAATAGTTGTCTTTTTTGACGTTATTCAGGTCAGACCTTCGGACAATAGTCCTGGAGATTATTCGCTTTTTTTTCATATAAACAATCAAATTCAAAGATTTAGAATTGAAAAAAAAGGCGTACGTTATCTCATGGGCGGTAGAACTTTTGAATGTCTTGATGCCGTTATAAACAGGTATGTTACATTTTTTTTTGAATTTTGAAACTATAGTATACGAAAATATTGTTTCCAGATATCGGAAAGAACAAATAGTCGAAGGTCACACTTTAGTTCAAGCGATGGTGACTGAGCCTGATGGTAGCGTGAGGGTCAATAGAGAGGTGCAACATGCGGAAAAGATATACGCAACTCTTAGAGAATGTCGTGAACAATCAGGAGCAAAGAAAAACAAGGGAATTAAAATGCAAGGATATTTAGAAAAGAAATCAGAGAAGAATAAAAAGTGGAAAGCATTGTATTTTGTACTTTTAGTAGATGCAACTGATACTCATTTATATTTGTATGACAATCCGAAGAGGACCAAACCTAAAGGTCTTATCGATTTAAGCTGTGCTTATTTATACCAGGTAGATCAAATTTTATAATCGAAACAAACTTCATTTTTCTATATAATCGTGTCAGTTTTCAGACCGTGTTATGTTTGAAATATATATGTATGTAATTATACTAACACTGGCAGTTTATCTTGTGTGTACAGAACAAAAAAAAATTTGTTACGTAAGCGTTATAATAACCGAATTGTTGTCAATGTTCGTTTCTGAGATGTAGTTTTTTTAGGTTCATGAAAGCGTGTTCGATAGACCTCATTGCTTTCAATTAGTTGAACGTGCTTTACCATGTTTGGCCACGATAACATATTTGGCTGCTCCGAATTCCGAGAATGCTTTAGACTGGATTAATGCCTTGAAACCATTATGTGTATCACAACTTACTCGTGCGCCAAAGGTTGCTCGTCTTCGTGAATTACGTTCATTACATCTGCATATTTTAGACGCTCATAGACTTCCATATAAATTAGTACCAAACCCATTCATAATAGTGGCTCTAAATAATGTAAAAGTTGCTCGCACAAAAGTTAAGACTGGATTACATCCAATTTGGGATGAAGAATTCATTTTAGAGTATGTATATGATTTGTCCTTTTAAGTATTGGCGCGTTTAACTAACATTTACCGTAAATGATTTTGTAGGGATGTGCCACCGGATGTTATGTCATTTTCCTTAACATTGTATAATAAAGGAAAACGTAGTAAAGATACGGAAGTGGCAGAATTGACAGTCGAATTGGCAAGTTTGACGAACGGCGAAGAAATGGATGAATGGTATCCATTGTCAGGACTCACTCCGATTGGCGAATGGGGCGTACTTCGTTTACGAATAAGGTAGAAATGTAAAAATATTTTTTAACATATTGTATATTTAGGGTATCGATTGTTTCCGTAGAATTGTTATCTTTCACGTATTTGTCACATTGCAGATACCGGCACGATTTAGCGATGCCTCCTGAAGAGTATAGTCCATTGCAACAGTTACTATTGGACCCAGAACTGCATGTTGTTAGGGCATTAGCAGATGTGTGTCACTTGGACAGAGTACCATTGGCAAATAGTTTACTTAGAATATTTAGGTATAAACAAAAATATACAATTTACTAAGTATTTTTCCTTTCAATTAAGAAGATTATATTCAATTAACAATGTATCTGTCTAGGCATGAAAGAAAAGAAGCAGATCTCTTGAGATCATTAAATCAAGCGGAAGTATGTGTATCTATGTTTATAGTTAATGGAAAGTCTCTTTTTTTCTTTTTTCCTTACTAAAGATGCATATTGCTTTACTTAGGTGGACAAAGAAGATGAAACACCAACACTTTTTAGAGCTGCTAGCCTTACGACTACTTTAATGGATTTATATATGAAGTCAGTTTGTACCTCCTTTTTGAAAGCCGCTTTACGTGACACCATAGTGAAATTAATTGAAAGTAAACAGAGCTGTGAACTAAATCCAACAAAAATGGATTCTCCGGAAGATGCGTGCAGTAACGCGGAATTTTTATTGCAGGTAAATATGAATGTAGATTAATAATAAAGTATATCAAATGATTGTGCAATTTACAATCGATATTATTTTAGGTTTTAGATGAAGTGACGTTAAGCATTTTTACAAGTCCTGATGCATGTCCAAGAACCTTGAGATATATTTGTGGATGTTTGCAAAGAGCAGTTGTTGCCAAGTGGCCACATGAAAGACTAGTCAGAACGCGAGTAGTCAGTGGATTTATATTTTTACGCCTACTTTGCCCTGCCATATTAAATCCTAGGTCATTTAATTTAATAGCTGAACCACCACCTCCAGCTGCTGCAAGGTAGGGTAGGTCTATATTAAACGTAAGAAATTTCGTAATTGAATAAATTGCTTGTTAATTCTCATTAAATGATTTTGCAGATCGCTAGTAATGGTTGCGAAATGTTTACAAAATCTGGCTAATTTGGTAGAATTTGGCGGAAAGGAACCATATATGGAGGTAGTTAATCCATTTATTCTCAAAAACAAAGAAAGAATGGTTGTTTTTCTGGATCAGTTGTCTGTAAGTAGTATTTTAATCGTAATCGCCTATGATATATGATCAAACTTAAATTTAAAATTATCTGAATTCATGTTATAGAACGTAACTGAAAAACCAGAATCTGAAGGTGCAGATCCAAGAAATAGAAGTTGCGTTTCGGATACTGCAAGAGATTTGGCCACTTTGCATCATATTTGTGTTTCTCATTTAAAAGAACTTCAAGTTTTATCAAAAACTCAGGTACGTTTCAAAATCTACATGCTCGGATACGTTACAATCATATAAATATTCCTTTGTAAATGAATATTTATTTTTTATAGCCAACAATAAAGCAATTGGTAACCGTGACTGAAATGTTAAGTAAACACAAGCAAAAATATATGGAAATGATACGGTAGTGCTAAAGCCATTCGCCATGAATAATGCCAAACGTAACAAAACAATTTATAAGATTTGATGACAGATACACGGTAGTATTTAATAATTACTCTTAAGTGGTTTAAGTAATTAAACGTACAGACTGACGTCTATATATATATATATATTACTGTGTGCATGTGTATATATGTATATATATATATATATACATATACGCATATATTCATACATATATACATATGTGTGTGTATATATATATATATATGTATATTACTGTATACACACAAGCCTATATTTACCGTTTCGTATGTAATTAGAAGATAGCTTATACGTATAGTGAACAGTACCATGACAGTGATAACTGATAGTTACATACAAAATCATATAGGCGTATAACGATTTTATATTTACCTAGGTGCTCGAAAATAAATGCAAATTAAACCAAAAAAAAAGTGTGTTCTACATATAGTTTCCCAATTTCTTAAAATAAAAAAATGCTAACTTGATTGATTTTCTAACAAATAATGATAATTTTGAAACAGATTAAAAAACTACATTTTTCAAATGTATAAATGACTTTTTATTAATTTTAATTGTTTTATAAACTAATTATTACATTTATATCGTTGCAATAGTTACCGCCATTTAATGACGAATATTGTGTTAAATTTAAGATCTTAGTCAGTTAATACAAAAGTTTTTAGAAAATCTGTTAACAAAAATATATATTAAATATCAAGTTATAAAACTAAGATGTATATGCACAATAACATTTGATACATTAAAATGTGTGTTCCAGTATTGGATTAATGTATAAATGGTGGTACTATGTTACGATTATGAAGTATATGTTTTTGAATAAAGCTATTTTAAATAATGTATTAAATATATCGAACTGTTACAAATTTACTTTCCGCTCCGACTTTAAATGTGAAACATTATACTGAACATATTGTGAACATTGGAACTCAATCATATTCTTTTACATTTGCGTTTCTATATATGCTATTGGATCAGAATATTTTAATATGTTTATAAAAAAGAAACATTGCTTTTTATAATTTGTACTTATTATGTATGATATTATTTTATTGGATAATGTGTTTCGAATAAAAGAATAAAAAAATATTAAACAGTGAGTTTACGCGTTTGATTTTTGTTTCAACACGCGTCAATATTAAAGTTAACATTAAATATACTACACATGATAAAGACGCATAAATTTTGATTTAAAAATTTAATTTTTCAATATTTTAGTACCGTTTGATTTGAATAACGTCATTTATATATATATATATACGTATAAACACAGCAAGAATAAAATTGATTAGACAACGATTTGTCAATTGCTCTTTCAATTTATAAAACCAAACAGCATAGATGACCTATAATTAATATTTAAGACAATCATTCAAGACAGAATGAATATAAAGAACACTTTTTGTACACAGTTTTATTATGAATTTGACTACATAATAACACCTATGCTGTGCAATTTTATATATACACATCCTCAATGTTTGAAAAAGCTAGTATTACAAATTTGCGCGTTTTTATTTGCAAATTACTATTTAAATTATTTAGCAAAATATTTAACCCTTGATTGTTCAAAATTCAGTCAGACAGGAGACACGATCGTACAAGCGGAATTTTAACTCTGTGGTCGTATTTTTTCTAGGCATAGTAGTCGTGCTCGAAATTATTTTTGGGTAGTTACGCGCTCAATTATTGTCTAAAAAAACGTATAAATTTTACTCAAATGAGTGAGTAATTTATTATTTTGGTATTCCATATTTTATACAGATTTATAGTTTTCTTTGGTATGATATATTTCAAAACAATTCCAGATGTGTAATCCTGGTTTTTAATATTACTACCACTATTAGTGGTATTAGAGTTGTCACTGTAGTCATCAATATAATTATTGGGCTCGCTATAATGATTCATATAAAATTCATCACCATTGTGTTGCACATTTTCATAATCACTAAACTCCCGACTCCTTTTAGACATTTTAGGGTATAATTTTTACAAATGTAAAAAATTAAATAAATACTAATAAAAAAACAATAAGTATCACTGATACTTAACTGACTGAAATAATAACTGTTCCTCCAGCCAAAAGATCCACAAAGTATTTAGAAGTAATAGTACGATAAGATAAACAGTATTAAGTTTGATTGCCTCGTCATATCATCATATATTAGTACCAGGAACATCCTGGGATTCGACCGCAAAGAGTTAAATATTCCATGAAATACTTTTGTACTGATTTTGTAGAAAAAATTGGTACGTTATGGATACGTGTCTCGTTAAAATGTGATGGCATTATTGTCTGAACAAATATCAAAGTGTATAATTACAATAGAAGTTTACAATTGATATTTATAATGTTTTAAAATTACACATTTCTTATAATAAAACGTGATGAACAGATAAAATTGTGTAACAAAATGCGACATTTCTTTATTATTATCTGACAGTGATTATAGACATTCAAATATCAATGTAAACTTTTATTTAGTTTTGCAATATAATCCTTAAATTACAGTTTTCTTTTTTTGTATCTACCAATCTTTCCTTATAGTTAAACATATAAAAACTTTGCTATAGAAATTAACAACTTATTTAGTGTTAGTTTCTACAAGCATAAGGAATCTCATACGTTTTTAATTGCACTAAAAAAGGAAACGCGAATAAACCTATGTACTACTAAATTGGCGTTTATATGAAAATTGCATATTTAATCACAGCAATATCTAACTAGCATGGCATGCTTAAGATTATTTAATCACAGCACAAAATGAGTTATTCATGTTTTTGTTTCTCGAGTTTGATACGTTTCTCTGTTTAGAAAAATGAAATGTTTTTATTATGCATATTAAAATATAGAGATAAAAATTAAAAACATTTATTAATCAACGAATAAAAATTATGAACTATACGAATAAAATATAGAAAATTAAATTTCAGAAATTCAATGAATTATACATTTTTTACATCTATAATATTATAAAAGAATTCTTTCATTAGATAATACTTTCCAACATTCAATAATAAAACAGATGCATGGCTGAAAAAATAGTTTTTTCATACTGACTATTCTATGCAATCAAGGGTTAAAATTCTTCTGCTAATGGAATATTAAGAGTTATATGGCAGACTGTTAAACGAATAATGTATTTTATGGAATTTAACTTCAAGAGTAAAAATGTACGTGATATAATACAATACTATTACATATTTTGTTCTTTTTCCCTCCCAATGTATAGAAAAAATTGTGCTTGTAATTCATTACAACATTCTATAGAGGAAGCTGCAAAAATGTGCGTAACGTGAATATAATCTGATGTTTTTTACAATCTATTTCCATATTAATGTATCGAATGAGAAAATTAACGTTATTTGGTGATTTAAAGCAAACAACACCGATGTCTCCTACGGCTTGTACTAGCTGTCTTCATACGTTTCTTTTTTTCTTTACCTCTATATTCTTTATCTCTCCGTATTTCTCTCACCTATAATTTATTAATTGCAATCCAGTAAAAAAAAAAATATATATATATACTATAAATTTTTGCACTTATTTATTGGGAATGACAATTGGTTTCTGTGTAATTCATAGGGCTTACAATTAATCATATGATATTACTTACCAATGTGTAAAACGCATCGTCCACTCCCATTCTAGTCTTAGCTGAAGTTTCAACAAAAGGCACTCCATATTGACGGGCAACTTCTCTTGCTTGTGTCATATTTACTGCCCAAGACTGTTGAAGATCACATTTATTCCCTACCAACACCATCGGTACTTCCTCTGCATCTTTAACTCGTTTTATTTGTTCCCTATATGTTCCTATGTCCTAAAATATTAAACATGTGCAAGCACATTTTCGCAATTATTGCAAAAGAAATATAACAATCTTAAGAAAGAGAAATCTCAACACACTTCGAAACTCTTAGCTGAATTTACAGCAAAGACTAATAAAAATCCTTCCCCAGTTCTCATATACTGGTCTCTCATTGCACTGTATTCTTCTTGACCAGCTGTGTCTAATATATCCAACAGGCATGTTTCTCCATCTATAACTACCTGTAGTTGAAGAATATTTTATATAAATATATATTCTTGAAGCTACTGTCATTGCTATATAATGAAAACTTACTTGTTTTCTATAAGAGTCTTCTATAGTGGGATCATATTCGTCCACAAAATGATTTTGTATTAGTTGGATTGTAAGCGCAGACTTGCCAACACCTCCAGATCCCACAACAACAAGCTTATACTCTGTCATTATGTAATTTTTATTCCAATGAAGGTTTTAATGTGAAGCAACAATCGCTTTTTGTCTACAATATAAAAAGTTTGCTTTTAAATCAATTTTACATGACAGGTGTGACGGCCAATTAAACAAATAAAATACTAAATGCAGGGTTAACAATTGTTAATTCTTATCGGAATGCGCGAACTATTTCTTGCGACGAGACGCAAAGCAAAGGTTCTTATATTTTCAGGAATTTCGCGCGATGATTCTTTGTTGAGTCATTCATCAGAATCGTTTTGATAGATTAATTCTCTGACGAGATCGTTACGAGTAATACGTACTCTGTGAGCGATAATTTGTGCCAAGTTTGCATGCACTCTAGCACGGGATCAGTCCTTAAGTCATTTATATTTTTAATTCGCCGATCAATATCGTTCAGTATGAGGGTAATGTACGGTGACTTAACAACTTAAAAACAAAATCTGTGTGGCGAACAAGTACCCATATCATAGAGACACGAGAGTAGACGTAACTGGCGATCAACTGTAATATATTCTATACACACACTGGATTAGAACTGACATAAGTAACTGAATCAGAAGAGATAATATTTAACGATATTTTCACTTCAAATTCATTAAATTGTTGATGCTCAACGGTAGATGTTTTTTCTAGTAAACATCGAGTAAAAGACCAATAATATCGATGCGAAGATAAACATTGTTTGAGCACAGAACCTCTTCAGTTTTCGATTGTGGTCTTACCAAAGTTTAAAGAATCATTTCAAGAACATGCACCGGCTTAAAAGCACTGTTTTCCGACTTTGACTATTGCAAATTAGTCATTGGAGAAACCATCTGGAAAGAAGCATCAGTGATGCCAATACATGAAGATTTAATGACAGTATTTCGAGGGTGTGGATCAATGGACAACAAAATTTTCATTGTGTCGACAACGAAACAAAAAGTCCAATCATTTACTTTAGATTCTGGTTTCTGTTACGGATATTCCTTCAAGCATGAAACATATATCCAAAGGACGTGATTTTCAGAACGAAAAAACGATTGGCTTCTCTTAGGGACGAGAACTGAATAAAAAAGGGAGAGCTTCCCTTCCGACCAATCAAAAGAGAGATTTAGATTTGTAATTCTACCTGATACATCCTCTTTTCACAGCCTCTTGAAGAAGCAGGATAGGTGCATTTGTCGAAAAGTTTTCGGAGTGTAAATCTTAACTAATTAATTTAATCAAATACTATTACAATTAACTTTATAATTCCTGTAGCATAATTATAGATGTAATTTTATAATTGGTTACTAGAATTTTATAAATTATTGTCGATTTGCAAAAATATTGATTTGATCTGTAATATTGTGGTAATTTATTTAACAAATCGTATTTAGTCTGCAAGTCTACTACAAGTAAGCTAAGAAATTTTAAAATTTAAATTTAAATTTAATTATTAAAAGTTTTTTAAATTCGACGTTGTATTATTCGATAATTCCCAATTTGATTATTTTCCATGATCAGAATATGTTTTCGTATAGTTAGACCTATTATAGTTAGAATTAAAGTTCTCAATCGTTCCTAAAATTCTTATTCCGTAATTTTTTGAACGAGGCACGATTAAAGTTTTATTTTTTTTTTTTTAAATTTAGACGCCTAAAAATTAATTATAATATGGCGTTTCGGAATATAATATGTGAAAATATTCGCTAGAACATTTTACTGAAAAAAAAGAAATCACTTATTTTGTACCGAACAAATTACTTGGTTTGAAATTGTTATAGTTAACTGAATTAAGTTTCCTCGTCGTATAACATTTTGAATATACGCGCGGTTTTAATTGGAAGACAAACCGTTTCGTTCCAGCCAATAGGAAAGCAGTTAGGCAATACTGTGGCGGCAGACGCCATTCTACTGTCTACATTTGAAGTGATAACTACGTAGCACTTTTCCTTGCAATTCTGTCTTAGAGTAGTTTAATTATTACGTATTTGTTTAATCACTTGTTAAACGTTGTCATGAAATTAGACAGTCTTCGTTAGACAGTTTTTGTTCGTTTTTCGTTAATCTTTCATTTGATTAATAGAATTACCAATTCACGAGAGTTACCGGAACCAATGACATCGTTCTTCACATCTAATGGTGAGTTGCATATATTTTTGTTCCTTTGGTTATTCAATCATGTCGTAGAATCAAAAGTTCGAATCTATAATCCTATTCATTAATTCAGAATAGATTTTCAGTTAGGATATTTATAATAGAATCCAGTATTTTTTGTTTTGTTTTTTGATTAATGTTTTGTCTTTTGTTGGCTCATTGTCATATTGAACAAATCGCGCCTTTTTTATGGGTATTGCATAAAAATTTTCAATCTCTTTACAACAATGGATTTAAGATTACCAAGATGAAAGTAAAATAGATTGAAGAATATACTTTCTCATATTTCGGTTGTATAAATTATTTCTTTATTTCGAAACTATTAAACTATTAATGTTGTTAAATTTTTACCAATTTTTTAAAATAAGAAATTCTTTCTTAAAATTTATTTCACAAGCACATTTTTTGTGCGTAAAAGGAGAGTGGTTGAAATATAATTGAGATGGGTCTCCAGTAATGAGATTCGGTCAGTCGTTGTTATTTGATACAAAATTTTTAATTACATAATTTCATGATATAATTATGAATTGTATACCAAATGATGAGTTGCTAATTAAAATATTTGTTAAGCTGTTGATGTGATCATTCATATAATTCCAAAAATTATAGATTCGATATTTTTCGTGATAATGTGTAATGCTTTTTGAAATACTGTGTACTATCGTTCTTATCGTTTTCGACGATTGAGTTAAATCGACGGTAAATCAGAGGCCTGGAAACTCGATAATTTTCGATGTCGGTATTTCAGAGACGCTAAGTCTCATGTGATATCATCATTGATACCATATCTATTTTATCCTTGGTCGATGAAATTACATTGCTGGTAAAAGATCCACTGAAAACACGTAACACGAAATTCTATAATATATCAGTATAGTATAGAAATAATCATTCGTTATTTCACATTGTACCTGGTCTGCTGCAATAAATTTGTAGGTTTCTCAAGATCAATACTTATCTTCCGAAGGTATAGAAGAAATTGCAAGTCGGTAACTTAGTTCGTATTACTCAAAAGATAATACGTTATGTTTTTTACCATAATGTAGTGTTAACACGAAAATTCCATTATGAAGAATATAACGAGGAAATATTTTGCTAAATTATCTCGCGTATCGTTGGAAAATTCTTTTAAACAGGAACAAGGTACACGTGGCTCTGTACGCGTTAACAAGACGAAAATTTCTTCAAATTTCTCGGGGTTGGAAGTAACGAACTTTAGATTAGAGCGTAATAGCATACACGTATGTTCTGTTTGAAACATCACTTAGATCTAAATGAGTTATTCAGCGAGTTCATGTACATATGAGTACCGTTTCGTGTTCAATTCCACGAGAGTTGAATCTCGCATATTTCCTTAATTTCTGTTGCAACACACCGATAAGGATATTTTCAACTATATATAACCAATGAAATGTTATCAGATATCCCATTAGAGAACATGGGGATTCAGGGATATTTTTTAACAAAGATAACTAATTTCCTAATCTAAAAGTAACTAAAATTTCGAAACTATTTTTCGGGGGAAAAAAAATGAATTGGAGGAACATTGCAAATTAAAGTGTACACTCGTTGAAAAACGAAAATGTAAAATCGTCACCTGATATTCTGGTAAAAAAAAAAAAAAAAAGAAAAAAAATTGAATTACGCAGCTGCGACACGAAACAATTTACGTTGCAAAATTTCATCTCGTGTATCCGAAAAATTGAACGAAATTCGGCAAGGCGCAGTCTTTTAGCCGCTCGTGTTTCGTTCTTTATCGTTTCGACATGACGTTAGATATTAATGCACACCTGTGATTCTAATCCAGAGCTACCACGTACTTGCACGCAGATATTAGTAAAATAGCTAGTTGCAAATATTAGTAAATGCTTCGTTGGTTCGCGGAATATTGTTAATGAGTTTTACGTCTGTATCGCGTTTAGTTTGATTAAGCGGTAATCAAATATCATGGTTCCTTGCACCGCGGCTATCAATTAGTTAACGGGCAAGTAACGGAGAGAAGGAATTTACAAATGGACGAATCGTGGTCGTGCGGCCGCGCAATTTCGTTTTAATATCGCGGTAAAACAGCGTTCACCGATTGTCCTCGATAACGCGATAACGTTAGGTGGCGGTGGTGAAAGAAACGAAAGTCCCCCACGCGCGCAGCTTGCCAGTTATTCCGGCGGGCTTTATCGCGGCGAAAGCTCGGTAATTTTACGAGTTTTCTAGCCGAGACGAGATCGAGATTTGCATAACGCTGGTGGCCGCCGCTCGGACCTAAGTGTCGAGAAATGCAAATGTGCAGCCTTCGTGCTTAGAACTTTCCTCGGGGCCCGGCCGTTAACAGCCGCGACGAAATCGTAAAGGATCGTCGGGAGGAGGGAGGGAATAGCTAGCTACTGCAGCATTGTGCGGACCAGCATCCAGGATCCGGAGCTCCTCGTTCGACCAAATTTCAAACTGCAAATCCCTTTACGGGATTTTCGTCGAGTACCTCCCCCCTTCCTGCGCTTTTCCTATCGGAATTCCGTCGATTCGCCGAAATCTTAGTCGCTTTGTCGTTGCCAGATTGTAAAATACTCGCGCAAGGTTGGAATTCTCGTCTCGAGGAACGTTTTCCTCTTTCTCTCTCTCTCTCTCTCTTACTTTCATGAGAAAATCGACGTGTGAGTTGTTGTTGCCAACGATATCGATATACCAGCGTATCGTACTGGCGTGTACCGCGGTCGCGCGCGGCTCAGGTGCACCCGATTACCTTCATAATGAACGCAATTGGTGTTCACCTGCGTGACTCGTCTCGAGCGGCGCAGGTTTAATCTGTTTACCGAAACTCGTTGTTACCAGCGCGCAGCCCGGCCGTTTGCTCGGGAAAATTGACCCGATGCTTATTCCACATAGCTGGATAATACCAGTGGCCAGTGGCTAGCGAGGATAGTGTTTTCATTCCCGAACGAAATGATAGTTTCCCGATGTTGTTACCCTGTATATAGCAGTGACGGCGAACCTTTTTGAGAAGTAGGTCAAATTTTCTTCATTATTTTTTTTAGTACTAGCGCGTAGGTCACTAAGTCAGTGGCGTTACTTGGAAAGAGGGAGGGGAGGATGGTTAAAAACTACTTTTCTTTGGTTCTCACTTTTATAATCCTCTGAAAAGTTTACGTTTCCTTTTTGTTTTACAACTTTTACTTTTGCAAGTGAAGAGCAATAAATAAATGTCGACGTCGAAAAATTGATGTAAAAGGGGTGACATCATGCTCAGTCACCCCTGCACTATACATTATATATATATACTTTGTTTCTTAATATTTTTTATTGTCTCTTTTATTATATAAAAAACTAGCAAAGCTACCCATTCTGAGAATGGGATCTAGTGTGTTTTTTTAGTGTTTATTACATCTGTTTAATCGTAAGCGCTGTATAAAATTTTTTAGACACAATTAACTCATATGACATTTAAGACTTCAAATACCTATATATATATACTTAACCAAGTCGTAAATCCTCCATAAAACACAATTATGCATATTTATTTCTCACTTTTTAAGCTCTAATCGAATGCTTGTAATCTTCTTAACATTTTTTGAAAAGAGAGGTTCGAAAAATAATTAAAATTCTTTTATATATATATATATATATATGATGATAAGTTTATAAAAACGCGTGGGTCATTTAAAAAGCCTGTGTGGTTCAGTGTCTGACCCGTGGGTCATAGGTTCGCCATCATTGCTGTATAATGTACTATAGTACTGTACAGTGCCACGAGCGCATCGAGAATTTTTTTGTTCCAAAATTGTAATATTTCCTCAGTTTTAAGTATATTTAAGTAAAACGAATAATAAATTTATTACTTCTCAATAATTTCTATCCAGTGATACCGGTGAGTTCAGAAAGAAAGCGACGAATATGTTGTATACGGTTTGGTCACTCGTTATGGTCCGCAATCAGTTGCAAAGGAAGTTGTCTTACCGAAACGAAAACAAGGTATCTGATAAATGGCAGAAGTAATTGCAGATAATGGCGAATATATTATATTATAGATTAGGATATAATTATTTGCTTTATATATATATAATATATATATATATATATAAAGCAAATAATATATATATAAAATAAATAAGTAAATATATATATATATGTTATTAAATAAATGTTAATTATGTTATATATATATGTTATTAAATAAATTATATATATATATTAAATTATTTATATTTATATAAATATAATTAATATATATTCATCCTTATAATAAGTAGTATTTTTATTTACAAGAAAAAGTAAAACTAAAAATACTACTTATCACAAGTACGAATATATATCAATTATATATAAATCATATAAAATTTTGTTATCGATAAATAAAGTTGTTTTTAATCAGAGTTGAGACGGAAATTATTCACGACTCGGTCGAATAGGGGGGAATGGGGGGGGGGGTTTGGACACGGTCGACAATTATCAAAGACTCGATAGGGAACGCCGCTGAGCAACGTTTTTCAATGCGGTAACGTAACGCTCTTTCATTTTCCTTTTTCCGAGCACGTAGCAAACTCGGTGTCCAATGGAGAGGGAAGGGTGGGACTCGTGCGAGGGTAAGAGCGGAGCGAGCGTATTTACCGTATATTTTCGTATCGCTGGCCGGGGTGGGGCTGGTCAAAACGTCAATTCAGCCCCCGAGTTCAACGTATTCCCGGCACGCCGCGGAATCACTGGGTGGGTTGTGTGTATTTTCCGCGAGAAATCTCGTGTCCGGGTAAAGTTGGTTATCGCGCCAGCCAGGCTGAGTATCCTTTCGTTTATAGCCGCCTCTCGGCTCTCGGCCCTCGAACGTCGACGGATCGCTGTCTTGCTCTGCCTATCGATTTACTTGGAATTTCTTCTGGCGTAACACGATGAGATTCGAACGAAGCGTGGCGCGTCTCCGTTTAATCGGAGCCGGCCGTCCAAGACCGGAATGCCAACGAGAGGAGCAGGTGCCTCGCCCAGCGGTGAAAGGGGCGAAGGGGGCAGGGGGTCGTGGGAAACGCGGTACCGGCGATAAATTCAAATTTCACTGAATTATACAGTATACCGAGGAAGATCGTTTAAAGTACAAGCAAACGCTTTCACGATCGAGTTCGTTGCGTGATTTCCAGCAAAGGGGCTTTCCCTTTGGCCCCTGTTTGCGGATAATAAATATTTATAGAGGGGGAACGGCTGCATGCAGAGTCGAATCCTCCCTCAGATCCTGCTCTCCCGATCGCTGGATGATCCCCGAATTACGCTAATTTACGACGGTTGCGCACGCGACGAAAAGTTGCCTCTGCAGTGGCGGAATCGCAGCTTTTCGTCCGACGCAAACACGTTTGACACAACCACCTGGACCTGCGGTGGCACCTCGATCTGCCAGTAAGAGGGTACAAAGAGCAGAGGGAACCTTCCGCGGTTTCGCTATAATCTCGCGAGAGCAGTCGAGCCAGTCGAGATAACTGAGATTGTTAGAGACTGAGATTGTTAGGCCATTTGAGATCTGACCGAGGTGGTTAAAGGCTGCTTTGCGGCAAGACAACCCTGGAATATGTCTATCGTGTTCTAATCCCAGTCTCACGAGGTTTGCCGAAACGACATTTTCGTAGGCCCGATGATAAGCCAGTTTAAGCGACAACGTTCCTGGAAGCCTCGTTAACCCCTTGACTATCTATAGCTGCTCAACTATACCTCGGACCGTTAGAACCGAAAAGCGCCCATAGGCAAATGAGAAATTAGCGACAGTGATTGTAAGAAAAGAAAATGTTGGATCAGTTGTTTAATTTAGTACCCTTAAAATGAAAACGTGTGGTAATAAATTAATCAGAAAAAGACAGGCAAGTGTATAGTGCGTAGAAAACATAACGTAAGAAGGGAGACGCATTATGAATGCAAGAATTACGTATTGGCCCATATGTTTTGACGATAGAAGACCCAATGAGAATTTTTTATTAGAGAATATCAATTTATTTTTGTATTTATAAGTATATTAATTTATTAATGTTCTTATAAATACAATAATAAATATTCTTGTATTAATTTATTTTGTATTTATAAGAGAATATTAATTTATTTTTGTATTTAATATAAAACTTAAATTAATATTTAATCGGGAGAATTATTAAATCTAATAAATTTCAATTTTCCATAAACTTTAATTAATGAAAATAACTTGATCTTTAATTTGAAATTAACAGAATAAATTACCTTTGGGGACCACAGCGTTATAGAAAAAAATGATCGCGGCCTCGATGTTGAATCGAGATAAATTTTAAATTTTAATATTATAAATAAATAAATTTTAAATATTTAGAATATTATAAATAAATTTTAAATATTTAGAAGTTCAATAATCTGCTCGACTTTTAAAATTGACGTTTAAATGTACCACACTTTTCTAGATTATTAGATTATATATCGTAGTATCATTTGTCGTGGGTCGTTGTTAAGTTATAACCTGTAGCTATTACATCTTTAGTTGCATTTAGTTACAACAGACGGCCTGTAGCGTGAAAGAGAAAGAAAGTGGGATTGGTCAATCAAATTGGCCCAGATTGGCATAAATATAGATATTGGCACAAGTGGGAGATATTGGCTCAACGCGACATTTTTCCTCGACATCGGTTCCGCAATTAATGCGTCTCTCCCCTCGTAGTATATACATATATATATGGGCATTTTCATTAAATGGAACGCGCGATTGGCGGAGGAGCGTGTAAATATTTTTATTTCGATTCTCTCGTTGATGAAACCGGCCCGCTTTGAAAAGAGCGTGTTTTATTTGCACGTACGCTGTGTACACATGGATACACACCGTATGCGATAAAATTTCGCTTGCGTCAATTATGCCTGCACGCGTACACGTATTTTCTTTCTACAGATTCTCTTTCGGGACGATGGAAAATTCCGTAGGAGTATATCGTAATATTTAAATATTCGAGTATCGTCGTCCATGCGCGTTTCGAGCTCGTACGATCTCGTTCGAATTCTCACGATTACAATTTTCGTCGATCGCGATTCTTCGTATTTTCTTCGGTCTTTGCTCGAGTTTCGGCACTCCGTTTGCTCGTAGATCCTCAGATAGACTTTAACGACCTATCGCCGCGAATCTTGTTTGTTAATTCCAGCGAGGATTCAAGACGTTCTCGCAACGGTTCCCCCATCGGCCATTGCCGTAATTGAAACGAATTTGCCTGGAAATTCAACACAAGGGGGATTGTGTAAGGTTTTAGAGGAAAGTGGGGTACCATTGTTTTCTTCGATACGTAGTCGAACTGTGGTATATATATCCGATACGACATTATGTGATGAATTTCAGAGCAAACATCATAGCGCTCGGTGCACAAAGAGTTAAAAATTTCGGCCTGAAGAGTGTCGATGTTATGTGAGTGAAGCGACTGTTTTTCCAGTGTTTTCAATCCATTTGTATCTCTATAGTCCTTATACAGTGTTTCGACGGCTTTTTCATGTTTCTATCTCATACTGAAGTATAGAAAACAAGTGTTGAAGAGAAGATTTTATTTGCAATTTTGTTCTATTAATTATATATATATATATATATATATATATATATATAAAGTATAATAAACAAGTGTATAGTGGTACACTATAGTAAACAAGTGTTGAAGAGAAGGATTTTATTTGCGATTTTGTTCTATATATATATATATTTGTAAAATAATTTAAACTTTTCACAAATAAAAGTTTGTAAACTAGTAATTAACATAACTTTTTATAAGACCAAATAGAGCAACTTTATATTTGTTGAAATTGTCAAAAACAATTGTTTTAAAAATTTATACGTCTTTTGATAGGTACTCGGTTTTACCCACCCCTATGGAGCAAAACCATAGTAGTATTTGTATATACCTCCGGGAAATTTTATTTTCCCGCGAGCCAAACAATTTTTTTCTAAAAAGTTTGGTCATTTTCTCATCGTATGGGATCCAATTAAATGATATAGTTTAACCTTCTGTGAATTCTGCCATCCGATTTTTTTTATTACAAAGCTAAATATTAGTAACCTAATATTAGCCGTTTTTTAAATATTGTACAAAATTTTATTTCATTTAAATTATTGTCAATAGACTTTGAAAGAAAAACCACATTACTGTAACCTCTGTTATATTAGGCACTCGGTTTTATCCTACTTTCCCCCCAAACTGTAGCGTGTCAAGTTAGCGTTACGATGGTTAGTGATACGTCGAAACGGAAGACAGGTGGAAAAGACGTCGGTCGCCCAACGTGGAAAACAATGGCTCCGAAAACGTTTAATACCAAGGACGCGCGTTCGTACGCCTTCGGTACGCGATATGATTTATCGTCCTCCAAGACGACGCAAGAATATAATGCTAGTGATTTATCGTTTCATTATTCGGTCTCCCGGTCTTCCAGCCTCGTAGCCTTTAGCTTCGTGTCACTCGTGAATCCCTAAAGAGTGCCGATTTCCCGCTGAAACGTATTCCGCCTAAGGAGATGAATCGTCCGTCTCCTCCTCTCTAAAAAAAAACCAGAGACAAACATTGCATCTTTGTTCAGGTTAATGCACAAGGCATTATTCGAATCTGTTACCTAGTTTTTTATCTTTGTCCCTTTTAACACTCGTGCGTGTTGCAAGCCTTCTCTTACTCCTTCCTCTTACGCTTGCCCTTGCCTTTTCTCTTTCTCCTAATACGCTGCTTTGGTACAATTATGGGAGGAGCTGGCCCAGGCTCCGGCAGAGGAACATAATTTCGTGCCGCCTTGAATTCAATCTCCAGAGTGTTCTTCAGATTATCGTTGGGCATAATGTGCCTTCTAGTCTTCAACGAGAACATCTCCTCCTCGGGTCTTTTCGCTGGTGGGCACTGTTGCGGTATTACGTGCACTTTCGTGCAGCCTATCTTGCATTTCTCACCTGTGTTCAACACATAGAGCCTCTATGAGCCTGTGTAACTTTCAAGTCACTAGTATACCAATATGTTATCGATATTTTATTAAATAATTTAGTTTTTTTTCCACGAGGTGGCGTATACATCTTGTTGTATAACGTTTTCTTAGTAACAATAACATTCTTGGCAAGGGTTATCAGTTCTAACCTCAAATATCAAAGTACATGCTTTTGCAAGTTGTCTGCAGATAGAAGGAATCATTTTGTGTCATTACTTTTTTTTTTTTCTTGGTATTTGTTAAACAAGAGAAAGTTCTTAGTTTCTATATATCCTATATTATAGTTCTTATAATATCCTATTTGTGTACATTTCAATAATCATTTTGTTACTTATATACATGTATATATATCATATGATACTTAGATATATCTTATCATGTGATATATTTTTTGTGATTTTCAAGTCATAACAGCCACAAGTTGCTTTTTAGTTTTATATATAAGAGGTCTAAAATACAAATGAATAGAAAATCACATAAAAATAAAAGAGCAATAGGAATAAGAGATCATAATATCGATTCATAAATATCAAATCAATCATAAATATTGAACAACCAATTTCTTACCATACAAGTGTTATTACTTTGCAAATTTGGTATTGTCATATTAATTATATTCAGCGATATTATTATTGTATTATTGTTCACGTTATTCATTATTTTATTACTGTTTACTTGTTTTACATGTTCATATATTGAATGAAAATTATATTTAATCATCCGATGTGATAAGCTTCGCTTATTTACTGAATGTTTATACATTTACTGGACAAATGAGAATTGTATTCAGCCATGTTCCAGTGTGATAATATAAGCGGCAAATTTAAAACGACGTAGAACTACGTTACCGACGTACAACTGAAGAATTTGAAATGACGTAGGACTACGTTATCGATTGCGAGTGTGTTAATTCAAACTGAAAACTTGTGGTTATGTATCGCAATGTTGGAAGAACATAATCGTACTATTATAACTGAAATTACATTGGATTGTAATTCAGATAGCAGAAGCTCGGCTAGGAGTTTCCATGTTTCGAAACGCAAAGCGCGTAAATCGTGTACCGTTATACAATGCCAGAGATAATTTATTCAGATTAAAAACGACGATCGATCGATCGAATCTACACGCAACAGAAATTGAAATTGAATTATGAATAGAGTATCATATAGGGTATAGAGAGTATAGAATATAGAGAAAAGAGTAATAAGAATAATAAGCATTAGGTAATAGATAATAGGTCCGAAGATTCTTTATTAAGTTCTGACTCGAACGAAGATCAGTTAATAGTATTTATCCGAGGACTCATAAACATTATTGACAGCGAATTTAGTGGTAAATAATCGCCAGATGAGGGTGCGAAGGGTTCTAAAAATAAATTGTCCCAAATTGCAACGTGTATCTATGTTTAATGCCAAGCACAAACTATTTTATGGAATTTCATACTTAATTTTTGTTATACTACGTAATCTATATTTACTATACTACTTTATCCATATTCAACACAGCCATATTTACTATACTACTTTATCCATATGCACTATATTACTTTATTCATATTTAGCACGTCCACATTTACTATACTACTTTCTCTATATTTACTATATTACTTTATCCATATTTAACACGTCCATATTTAGTATATTTGCTTTATCCATATTTAATACATCCATATTTACTATACTACTTTATCCATATTTACTATATTTGCTTTATCCATATTTATTACATCCATATTTACTATATTACTTTACCCATATTTACTATATTACTTTACCCATATTTAATATATCCATGTTTACTACCTTACTTTATCCATATTTAACACATCCATATTTACTATACTATTTTATCCATATGTACTATATTACTTTATTCATATTTACCACGTCCATATTTACTATACTACTTTATTCATATTTAATACATCCATATTTACTACTTTATCTATATTTACTATATTACTTTATCCATATTTAACACGTCCATATTTACTAAACTACTTTATCCATATTTACTATATTTGCTTTATCCATATTTACTATATTACTTTACCCATATTTAACACGACTATATTTACTACACTACTTTATCCATAATTAACACATTCATATTTACTATAATACTTTATCCATATTTAACACGTCCATATTTACTGTCCTACTTTATCCGTATTTAACACACAACCGTTGTCATTTCAAGGTTACAAAACATACTCGTTATAATAAAATCGTCGAAAACCGCTGAATTCGTTGTTAATCTGTATTTACACGTTGATATTAGTTGATTTTACGTTTACACAAATTTTCTTATGAAAAAAATTCGGCCCATAGAAGGTTATTGTACTTTCCTCTCTCCCTTTTTTCTCTCTTGACTGAATAAAGAAAGAAAGCAACCCTTACCTTGGGGATCTGCGCAATTAAAGTCGAAGCTGAGTCTGTCCTCTTGCCGCTCGATGCTCTCGGGCTCGAATTTCCCCCTGTTTTTTGGCACTTTCACGGATATGAAGTTGTTATCGATTTCGTGGCTGACCTCGTCGTAGGGTGGCTCGGCGTGCGGCAGAGGACACGACGGATGAAGACACCGAGGACAGACGCATCGGCTGTCCGTCATGTTATTTCGAATTTGTCTAGCCGTTTCCGGCTCGGCGCTCGAAACGAACGCGCTTCGTTCCCGTTTCTGTTCCCTACAATCCCGAGGTTGCCATTTTGACCAAAACAACTGACGGAAATTGCGATTCCGTATATTTACACGGATGCACATAGGGTGGTACAACCTGAAGAGGAGGGACAATATTTTTTTTTTCGTTTCGAAGCTTCGTTTTTCGACGAGATCGAACTTTTGGAAATTTATCAGTACTGCGTTTAACTCTAGCTAATTGAACTAGACAGGATGGCAGGAGAGAATAATTAATGGGATGTTCATCGACGATCATGTGGAAATTGGAAATTTGACGCTGTATTTTTGTAATCTTCGACCGGAAACGATAGAAGAAAAGAGAGAAAAGCGATAAAAATCTCCAGTGTGGAATGTGGAAACGAAATCGAGATTAGCGATACTATATATGTATATATATATTGGCATCGAAACTTCGACTTTTCAAATTTAGAGTTCTAATTGGAAACGAATCGTTGAATGGAGGTGGAAAATTGCTGGCTGCCGCAAACGAGTCGCCGTCTTTCGACGTGAATAATATTTCCGGCGATGTCAACTGAATAAATCGCGTGCAGGCTGATCGACATATACACTTTCGCTCAAAGGTTTTGGGACACTTTTATTTTTAATATTCAGTACTGATCGTGGACACGTGTTAACATAATACAATAATACAGTGTATATTAATGTTTGTATTATAACAAAGTTTTTACTGTATAAAGTGTACTTTATATTTTTCGTATTTAGTTATACAGGGTGGGCCAAAAGTTTTTTGCCATCCATTTTTTCTTTTTTAACAAAAATATAAGGAGAAGCTAATTTTATTAATTTCGAATTAAATTTCAGTTCATGAACAAATTGAAAAGGATATATACTCAAAAAAAAATTATGGATTTATTTCAGCAGGAAGCGATGTTTGACCCACCTTGCGTTTAATTTCAATTCAAAATTAAACATGAATAAACGTACTTTGTTTGATTTTATATATGTATTGTAATGCAATGACACAATGATATGCATACAAAATATAATACAATATGTAATACATTGATATGTACACAATATATAATGCAATATATTGGTATATTAACTATAGTGTGTTAGCTATGTTTTGTAATTAATTATATCGTATATCTATACAATTATGTGTAATTTACGTATTTGTGTAATTACTGTTCTTATTGTACGTAATTTATAATTCATATTTATTGTATTATCAAGCAAATATAATACAAGAAGTGTGTTAGCTATGTTTTGTAATTAATTATATCGTACATCTATACAATTATGTGTAATTTACGTATTTGTGTAATTACTGTTCTTATTGTACGTAATTTATAATTCATATTTATTGTATTATCAAGCAAATATAATACAAGAAATATACATAAGTATAAAACATAATACAAGAAATATACATAAGTATAAAATATAATACAGGAAATATACATAAATATAAACCAGTACAAATATAATACAAGAAATATACATAAGTATAAACTAGTACAAATATAATACAAGAAATATACATAAGTATAAACAAGTACAAATATAATACAAGAAATATACATAAGTATAAACAAGTACAAATATAACACAAGAAATATACATAAGTATAAACAAGTATAAATATAATACAAGAAATATACATAAGTATAATACATAAGTATAAATACACATAAGTATAAACAAAATATACATAAGTATAATACATAAGTATAAATACACATAAGTATAAACAAAATATACATAAGTATAATACAGAAATATACATAAATATAAACATAGTACTTGTTCCAAGATTCCCGAGCGGGGATGTACATACTTGGTAGAAGATGGTGTCGCTCTCGATCATGAAGCGTAGATGATCGATTCGTTCTCCATTCTTTTCAAAGCAGAGAAGCTACTTACCGCGGTAATTACCCGGTGGCCGACCTTTGCGGCCAATTCGCGACGCGTCTAATGTGCCAATTAATGAAATTAGCTTCGCTGCCTGTGAACCTATTTCTGAAATACCGTTGCCACCGGTGTTAAAAGGCGTGTCTAATTGAAACGCGCGCTATAGACCCCGGTGGCTGGTTACCGCGCGAAATCTCCAGCAACGTTGGCGTGGCTAACGTTGGCCAACATTGTCTCGGCTACTTTCGACGACGCCTGCCTTCCCCACGGACTTGAACGGCGAGCGATATCTGCTGCCCGAGCGAAATAATCCACTTTGTTACGCTTTTTACGGCAACAGCGATCAAAGTTCGGGGCACCGACTACAATCGAATTATCGGTTTTTAAATGAAATTCTTCGCGAGGCTCTTCGCCCGCACTTTTTCCTCCTCCGCCCCGTCTCGCCCTCCCCCCCCCCCTCCTACCCTTGGGAAACTTTCCCGAGCTAACGCAATTTCTCGTATAATTGGGGGGATTAATTTGATGAATTAAACGGTCTGCTTGGAGTTCGTTTAAGTCGTTACACCGAGTGCGCGTATAATCGCTCCAGCACTACGCCGCACTTTCTCTCTTCTCCCCCCCTTCCGCCCCCTCCGTCCACCGCCCCCTTCTTCCGGTCGTTTTGCTGCTTTTTTCCTTGTTTCTTAAGCGACCCGTTTATTCCAGCGTCGTGCCGCGTTGCAAAGTATCGCCGCTGCCTCGCCAGTTCGCTAGCTGTCTTTTCCTTTCTTTCTCTCTCTCTCTCTCTCCCTCCCTCTCCTTTCCTTTCAACTCATTAACATGAGGACGTCTACCACTCGGAGAAAATTGCGTGCAATTTTCTTTAGAAACACGCCCGGGCGATTTCGTCCGGTAACGCGCTCGACCCTTTCGCTTTATCCTTTAAAGCATCTTACATTCTGCCATAATACGTTACGTACGGAGCGAGGAATTCAGCCGGGCACGCGAACGCGACCCTCCGCCCCCCCCCCCCATCGTCCACGTCCACGACAAACAACACGGTCCGCTTAATATTTTTCATTCCCCGCCGCTGGAAAATAGAAGCGGCGGGCCCGGCTCGAAGATAAGGGCGAAGAAAGCTTGCAGCATGTAGATGAGAAAGGACTGGTTACCGTTTCTCAAGAGCCGGGAGGGCAGTGGCAAGTTTAAACGAGACGAGGGTCGACGGGACCGGATCGTTGGTTTTTTTTTTTTTTCTTCTCTGGGAAATTTCTTCTGGACACACCGAAGAAAAGGGGAACGGGGGGGAGGGAGGTGCGGAAGGAGGATCTTGCATTGTTTTCCCCGTTCGTGGCTTCTTCCTCCCTTTGTTTCTTCTTTCCTTCTCGCGATTCGTCGCGAGAAGCGTTCGCGTCATCGTGTTGAGTGCACGGATTCATATTTTACCGGAGAGTATGCAAGGGATTGCTTTCGTTCGGCCGTCCGACGCCCACAGCCGACTTCCCCCTTTGCCCGTTTGCCATGCCAGCATCCTTTCTTTCTTATTGTTTCGTGCCAAATCGACATCCAGATCATCAACGATTAGGTACTGGCATGGTACTTATACTTTGTGTCCATCGAGCACTGAAATGTTCTCTTCGAATGATCTTGGGACGTGAAGACAAAAGATGGAATGTTCCCTGTCATTTAAAGCTTGTGCAAATTTTTCTTCAACTTTATAGTTATAGTTATACGTATATATATATATATATAAAGTTAATTATATATAACTATAATATACATATATAGATATATTACATATAACTATAATATATATATATATATATAGTTATATTACATATAACTATAGCTACAAAGTTATACGTATATATACGTAGCTATAAAGTTAATTATATATAACTATAATATACATATATAGATATATTACATATAACTATAGCTATAAAGTTAATTATATATAACTATAATATACATATATAGATATATTACATATAACTATAGCTATAAAGTTAATTATATATAACTATAATATACATATATAGATATATTACATATAACTATAGCTATAAAGTTAATTATATATAACTATAATATACATATATAGATATATTACATATAACTATAGCTATAAAGTTAATTATATATAACTATAATATACATATATAGATACATTACATATAACTATAGCTATAAAGTTAATTATATATAACTATAATATACATATATAGATATATTATATATAACTATAATATACATATATAGTTATATTACATATAACTATAGCTACAAAGTTATACGTATATATATACGTGTAACTATAGCTATAAAGTTAATTATATATAACTATAATATACATATATAGATATGTATATTACATATAACTATAATATACATATATAGGTATATTACATATAACTGTAGCTACAAAGTTATACGTCTATATGTACGTATAACTATAGCTATAAAGTTAATTATATATAACTATAATATACATATATAGATATATTACATATAACTATGGCTATAAAGTTAATTATATATAACTATAATATACATATATAGATATATTATATATAACTATAATATACATATATAGTTATATTACATATAACTATAGCTACAAAGTTATACGTATATATATACGTATAACTATAGCTATAAAGTCAATTATATATAATTATAATATACATATATAGATATATTATATATAACTATAATATACATATATAATTATATTACATATAACTATAGCTACAAAGTTATACGTATATATATACGTATAACTATAGCTATAAAGTCAATTATATATAATTATAATATACATATATAGATATATTACATATAAATATCATATACATATATAGTTATATTACATATAACTATAGCTATAAAGTTATACGTATAACTATAGGTATAAAGATAAAGAAAAATGTACATACATATATACATTGATTTGGTATGTATGAATGATTTAGATCTTAATGAATATTTCAAAGTATATGACTTGGTAAAATGCAATAGACCTATTCCGTATCTTCTTTTCGTTAAATATCTGGTCCATTCTAGATTTTCTTCTGCTG